CCAGGCCCAATCAATGTCATGAATTCCAGTTCCTCATTTCCAGCTTCATTGTGGATTGTTCAAGGAGATATCTCAGCAGGATGGAAAACTTAACATGACCAAAATGGAACTAGTTTGCCCCTCCTTTCTCCTACTTCTTTCCTTCAGACTGCTCCATTTCTTTTGAGGGCACTATGATTTTGTCTTCAACTCAGTTTCACAACCTCAGCGATCTTGAATCGTTCTCACTCTCTCTCCCTCATTCCCTCACTACCTTTCTTTCCCTTCCTCTCTCCCTCTCTCCCTACCTTCCTCTTACTTTTTCCCTGCCCCTTCTCACCCATTAATGCTATCTTCAGAAGACTGCTTATATCTGGTTCCCACTTTTTTATTCACATGGCTACTCTCCTGGACAAACCCTATCTCATCTGGATTTTTGCAGTTGCTTTCTAATCAGTTTCCCTCCTTGCTTCTTAGCATTTCCTCTCTCTAATCTGTTGGCAGCACAGCTACCAAAGGGATATTCTTACAACACAAGTCTGACTGTTTTGCTCCTAGACTCCAAAACCTTCACTGGCTTAACTAATGTTCCTAAGATTCTTCCTAAGAAGAATCTCAACTGTCTTGGACTCCTAAGAGACATGTAAATCTTCCTTCTCTATCAGTTTGTTTGTGAACTCTCTCAATGTTGCTTAATAAGTACTCTGACTTGATTTACTGGAAAGTTTGTTTGAAAGAATTCATTTCCTTCAGGTATGTATGAGATGATGCCTCTGTTTGTTTGTTCAATATTTATGACAACACAGGAAATATGAGATTTTAGATTTATTTTTTCTTTAATTTTTATGGTCCAGGAGGAATGCATAAGAATGCAACATATAAAAGAATAATTTCTCTGTCATGTTGATGTAATTTTACCTATAAGAAATCTTATGAGAGTCCTAATCAGCATCCGTGTTTTCTCAGAGGCCTGAACTCACACTTGAGAATAAGAATAAAATCTAGGTTTTTAATTCTATAATTTCTGCATTGGGAAAAATATACATTTGGCAACAGTTACCTACCACGTGAACTCAGAGAAGACACATTTTTCCTTTAACAGTGTGCATATGTTCTCTCTCCCCAGAAAGCTCCTTGAAGGCACAGGTAATTTCAATTTTTGGGTCTTTGAATCCCCAGCGCTAAGTAACAATGCTTTGAACATGGTAGGAGTGTATTCAATGTTCACCAAATTCAAGGAAGTTGATGATGATCAGAGGTGTCACAGACAGGGCTCATGTGATGCATGCAGCCCACAATACCCCCAAGAGCTGCCCAAACCAGATTAAAATGTAATTTGGAAATATTTAACAAAATAAATTAATTACTTAAAGTTAGAAATATATAAACACATGTGGTTTGCAAAGCCAATATGCAGTTTATGGGGATCTTTATCCCTGGTTGAGTTGTCCCCATTTGTGCTTGAATTTGGAGATAATGTGGTTGGGATGAGGAGAATTGATCAGAAAAGAAGGAGCTCTTGAAGATGCCTGAGATTCTGATCTAGTCAGACTTCAATAGCTGGGTTTAAAATATAAGCTCTTTCAGTGTAAAAGTGGTTTCAGTTTTGTTCTTGTACCCAAGTCTGGGATGGTGCCTTGCATGCAAATGATCCATAAGAAATTGTCATTGATTTCAATTAAATCTTATTGAAATAAATCATATATCCACTGGTAAGGTAATTTTTCAGCACCATGATTTATTGTTGGAAAAACCTTTAATGAAGACTTGTACAAAAGACATGGACAAAACCTGGTTAAAGTGTGGAAATCTTGTCAAGTATAACTTTGGAGAAAAGCCTGAATTAATGACATCAGAATCCAGTGAAGTCATTTGGAGCCTGTGCAAAATTCAGACAACAGAGAGGGTGAGGCTTGGTCAGGAGATGGGAAGCAGGTTTGCTGCCTTGAATGAAGTACTGGGGAAGTGAGTCATAAGAAATGAATGTATAGTTTAGATAGGGTAGGGAGGAAGAAAGGTGGGGCTGGAAGCCCCTCCTAAGAAGTCACTAATATCCTCATTCAATGTCTCCCTCACCCAGCTCCACTAGCCATCTTCCTGCTTGCTTTACTTCCATCCCCTACTCACCTGCCCATATACTAAGTAATTATGGGAAATGATCTGTTTGTACACAGAGAATATTCAGGAAGGGATTTGACCTCCAAAACTTGGGTCAAGGGCACTGGCCCATTGGAGAATGGGGTACAATACATAAAGTGATTTAACTTCTAGAGGGCCTTGTTTTCCTGCTCCCTGTATTACACAGTGGATAGAGCACCCACCTTGGAGTCAGGAAGACCTGAGTTTAAATCTTGCCTCAGACACTTGATAACTATGTAACTGTGAAAGTCCCTTAAACTCTCCCAACTACATTTATCAAATGAGGGTTCTAATAGAACCTACTTCATAGGGTTGGGTTGAGGATCATAGAAGGTAACCCAAGTGAAGGGCTTTGCTAACATTAAAGCACTATTGCTATGAACATGGAACCTTGTCTCTCCTCCCACCATTCCTTGGCAGCTAAGGAAGGGGTAAAGGGAAGAGTGAGGTGACATCATTGTCAGCCTCTTGGTGCCAAAGAGCTGTCAAATGGGAAGTTTTCTTCAAAAAGACTGAATGGACAGGTAAAGGAAGAAAATGGGTGTGATTCACAGCTGGGCAGGGAAAGGAGGAAAACGGTAAAGCCCCAAAGCCATGTCATTTCTTTAAGGCAGGCAGAAGACACCATATAAAAGATTCTCAACATTCCCACAACTGAGCAACAGACCTGAGTCCTTTGACAAGCTTCTTTTCTCTGAGAGCCAGGTAAGTCTCTGTCCTCTGAATTTCTAGCAAATAACATGAGCATCAGGATCTCATAGTCTTTGAACATTGCTTTGGAGATGAAGAACCTGACCTCCAGAGGAAAGTGATTTGACTGAAGTCATACAATTAGTTATTGTAGTAGCAGAATAAGACTAGATTCAGGGTTCCTCTTTTCTGGCTGGAGTGACTTAAGCTTTCTTGTCCATTTCATTTTGCTGAAATAAGTGTAAAAATTATAATGTTGCTTTCAGCATTAATATCCAAGTATTCTTTGACAGTATTTCATTAAAACATAGGTCAAAGGGGAATAGATCTTCAGAATTCCTTATTCACATAATATTATATATATATATATTTATATGCATATATACAGAAGTATGTATATGTGGATGTATATCTAGTCATGTGCACACATAGAGGTATGTATATTCTGAAGAAGAAGATAGATGGGGGTCATATTCCCTCTCTTAGGGGTATTCGAAGTAATGCCACATGGAAGGAGGATTAGATTAGTGTTAGTTGGACCAGAGCCCAGTACTGAAAACAAGGAGCAGTAGCTATAGGAAGGCAGATTTAGGCTTGACTTACTGAAAGGAATTCCTGACAGAGTTATCCAAATTCTAATGGAATGCCACGTGAGATAGTAGAAGTCTTCAAGTAAAGGCTGGATGAGATTTGTGATAGAATGAGGAGATGTTTGCTCAGGTATGGGTTGGGCTAGATGGCCTATGAATTCTCTTCTGACTTTGAGATTATGTGATTCTGAGTACCTATAGTCAAAATGCCTTATTTTACAGATGAGAAAGTACAGACAGCTGGTATAGTGCACAGAGTGGTGGGCCTGGAGTCAGGGAGGCATGAGTCTAAATCCAGTCTCTGACATTTATTAGCTGTGTGTGACTAGCAAATCATTTGATCTCCATCTGCCTCACTGTCGTCATCTGTAAAATGGGATAGTAGTGGCACCTACCTCTTAGATTTGTTGTGAGGATCTGATGAGATATCTGTAAAGTATTTTGCTATAGAAATGCTAGCTATTCTCATTATTTTTAGAAAGGAAAAGGGACTCGTCTAAAGTCACATGGCTACTTAGGGGAAGAGGTAGGACTTTAACGTTTTTTACGTTTAACACTAGAACTCTTGAGAGAGAGAGTGTGTGTGTGTGTTTGTGTGTGTCATTAAGGGGTATGTTTTCCCAGAAATATAACATTATCCAGGTTTGGAGGTTTCAAGGATTTTTAATATGGGCTTTGTGAAGTCAGTTTTTAATATTTTAATAAATATATTTCCATAAAATTAATTGAACTCCTGTATATTTTATTTTATACATTTAAAAACATGAGGAATCTACAAGATTCATGGGCCTAAGGAGACTATGACACAAAAAAAGCTTAAGAATACCTGATTTATATGGAACTATTCATCTAAGGTCTTCAATATATTCTTGCTATACAATTCAGCAGTTTTTAATGTTTTCAATTGTCAGATCAGAGTCTTTCTAACAGTTTCTTTCCACGTGACTTTAAAGTGATTGAAGTTTATCTCACAAACAGACCACATAAGACTAATCCCTGTTGTAGCTTTGGACAGTACAAGAAAAGGCACAGAAAGAGAAGGAGGCAGCATAGGCCTGGGAAAGAGCACAGCATTTGGCATTAGAGTAGATTTTTTGGTCCAAATGCCAGTACTGCCAGCTCTTACTTATGTGACTTAAATTGTCCAGGCCTTAGTCATTTTCTTATCTATAAAATGAGGAGATGGAAGAGATGATCTCTAATGCTCCTTATGATGCTGGACTTGATGATCCTAGAGAGGACAAGTAAAAAGAAGAGTGTAGGGGAAGAGAAATAAAGCTTTGGAGAAAAGAAGGCAGAGAAGGATGCAGAAGGAGAGACAGTGCCCAAGATGCAAAACAACACTGGCAGGTTCAAAAGCAGACTCTGTTCATAGGTGGGTCATGAAGCAGGACTAGGAAGGATGAAAAGACAAGGAATCAGGGGAAACTGATGATGATCCTTCTAAGTTAGCCAGATTCAAAGCATATCCTAAAAGAGAAGAGGGCAAGAGAGGTCCCAAATGCCCTGAAAACCATATTCTTCTCACAGGGGCTTGTTCTTCCCTATATGATAAAAGAATTGCTCTCATTTCCTCTCCAGGTCTATCCAAGACAGCAAGCCATGTTTTCCCAGCAGCAGAAGCAGCCCTGTTCTCTACCTCCCCAGCAGCAATGTGCCTCCCAAACCAAGGAGCCTTGCCACACCAAGGAACCACAGCCTTACCATCCCCAGGTGCCACAGCCTTGCTATCCCCAGGAGCCACAGCCTTACCATCCCCAGGTGCCACAGCCTTGCCATCCTCAGGTGCCACAGCCTTGTATACCCACTGTTACTCCACCTGCTCAACAGAAATGCCCACAGGTACCCAAGACCATGCAGATGTAAGACGGCTCAGGACAATGCCCTCCTGAGGACCAACCTCTGTGAACAGAACCTCCATGAAATCAGCTTTCCAATTCTAATTGCTTAACCTCTCTGTGTTGCCTGGGAAACTTTTCCTCTGATGATCTGAAGCCTGTAATTCGCATGTTCCAATCAATTAGCAAGGGCCCCACCCTTCCTTTGGATCCTGAAAATGTTTCTACAGAAATGTGTTCTCCATCCTGGGCTTCCTAAGCACAAGGACCAGGCTGAAGCTACATCTTTCTGTGCTACATCCACTGTCAGGGCCAGAATCAGAATCAATCTAGGAATGCTTCAATCCAGAGATGATTGAATCCTCTTCTCATCCATTAAACTCACTTTTCATACTATTTCTGGCTGGCTGTGTGTCATTATTGGTTGGTTCCTATTCTTTTTCATTGTCTTCTTTCCAGATTCGAGATGGATTGAGGATATGGGGAAACTAGAGAATATCCCTCCTGGCTCAGGAGCTCTCAACCAACGATGGGGGCTAGGGTGGGTGAAGGTGCAGGGTATTTAATCCTGTCATGAGTTCAGGACTAGCTGGCAGCACTATGGGTACCCAACAGACATTGGGTAAGTATAGGATGGATGAATAGCCAATGTACAATCTTTCTAAGTCTACTCAGTCCAGAGTCAGACCTGGCACATGTGGCTCTACTCTTGGGTCCAACTCATGTCCAGAATCCAAAATGGTGCTGCCTTCTCTCCACTCTCTCCCCTACCTACAAACCACCTGTTCCTGGTGAAATGAGAAGTACTGGAAACCAAAAACATTCAAGTCTTGGCTTTTTCTATTGCTACTGATGTGAACTTTGGCAAAGAAGTGTACTCCTCTAAAGCTCAGTTCCTTTTCTAAAATGTGGATAATGATGTTTTCACTCTTCCTCATAGAGTTTAAGTGAGGAAAAGCCTTATTTAAATTTAATTATGCATATTAGGAAAACTGTCAATAAAAGTGATCACATCAATAACAAAACCGATAGAAATCATATGATTAGCGCAATTGATGCTGAAAAAGCTTTTGACAAAATACAGCATTCATTCCTATTAAAAACAATAGAGTAGAGAAATAAAGATAGTGTTCCTTAAAATGATAAGCAGTGTCTATCTTAAACCATCAGCAAGCATTATCTATAATGGGCTAAGGTAGAATCCTTCCCAGTATGATCAGGGGTGAAGCAAGGATGCCTATTGTCACCACTATTATTCCACATGGTACTATAAATGTTAGCTATAGCAATATGATTAGGAAAAGAAATTGCACCTATCAAATTAGCCAAGATGACAAAACAAGAAAATGATAAATATTGCAGAAGATGTGGGAAAATTGGAACACTAATGCATTGTTGGTGGAGTTGTGAAATGATCCAACCATTTTGGAGAGCAATTTGGAACTATGCCCAAAGACCTATAAAAATGTACATACCCTTTAGACCCAGCAAGAGTACTTCTAGGGCTATATCCCAGAGAGATCATACAAATGGGAAAAGGACCCACATGTACAAAAATATTCATAGCAGCTCTTTTTGTGGTTGAAAAGAATTGGAAATTGAGAGGATGCCCATCAATTGGGGAAGGGCTGAGCAAGTTGTGGTATATGAATATAATGGAATACTGTTGTGCTATAAGAAATGATGAACAGGCTGACTTCAGAAAAACCTGGAAAGACTTGTATGGTCTGATGCTGAGTGAAATGAGCAGAACCAAGAGGACTTTGTACACAATAACAGCCATGTTGTGTGATGACTAATATTGATAAACTTAACTCTTACCAGCAACACAAGGATCTGAGACATCTCCAAAGACCTCGTGATGGAAAATGCTATCCACAAAGAAAAAGAACTATGGAGTTTGAATGTAGATTGAAGCATACTATTTGCTATTTTTTTCTTTTGTTGAGTTTTGTGTCCTCTTTCTGGTGATTCCTCCTATTGGTTCTAATTCTTACTTACAATATCACTAATGTGAAAATACGTTTAATAGGAATGTATATGTATAGCCTATATCAGACTGCATACAATCTTGGGGAGGATGGTGGGGAGGAAGAGGGAGAAAAGTTTTAAACTCAAAAGCATATGGAAGTGATTGTTGATACATGAAAATAAATTAATTAAATAAAAAAAGAACTCCCCCCCCCCAAAAAAAAGGGGAAGAAATTGAAGGAATTAGAATAGGCAATAAGGAAAGAAAGCTTCATTTCTTAAATATATATAGGGACCTGAGACAAATTTCTAAGAATATAAGCCATTCCCCAATTGACAAATGGTCAATGGATATGAACTGGCAGTTTTTAGATGAAGAAATCAAAGCTATTTCTAGGCATGTGAAAAAGTGCTCTAAATCACTTTTGATTAGAGAAATGCAAATGAAAACAACTCTGAGGTACCACCTCACAATCATCAGATTGGCTAATATGACAAAAAAGGAGAATGCTACATGTTGGAGAGGGTTGGAAAAATTGGGACACTGATTCACTGTTGCTGGAGTTGTGAACTGATCCAATCATTCTGGAGAGCAATTTGAAACTCCCCAAAGGGCAACCAAACTCTAAATATGATTTGATCCAGTAAAAACCACTATTAGATCTGTATCCCAAAGAGATCATTAAAAAGAGAAAGGGATCTACTTGTGGAAAAATATTTATAGTAGTCGTTGGTAGCTCAAGGTCACACAGGGTAGTAAGTAGCAGATTGGGGATTTGAACCCAGCTCTTCTCACTTTAAATCCATCACTCTTCCCAGTGTGCCAACACTGCTTCCCCAAGGTGATGGTCAGAATGGCTTCCCTGGTTGTAAAAACTCTCTGTAGGACACTGGCAAGAACTAAGGAAGCTTGGGAAATTTGAAACCTTATAATTCTTCACCAAGTTGGTACAAGTTGATGAGCCACTGTCAGAGGGACAGGGAAGAATTACATCACTTGGAAATAGAAAGTCATGCACATTTTGTTGGGGTTTCCTAACATTAGCTTTGATTTTTTTGTGGGGCAGAGGGAAAAATAGGGAAGCTCTGGACATGATTTCAACATTGTAGTGATCTCCAGGTCCCTCTACCTAAGTAGCCTGAAATTCGTCCTACAATGTCTTACATAGCCTTAGAAAGCTGCCCCCAATTTATCCTTTTCTATCTTGTTTTTAAGTGGGTATTTGTTTGCTGTTTGACCTCCTAGATTTTTCAAAGTTTTATTGATGTGTTTTTACATTACAAATATTTGCAGATCACTCTTACTTCATCAGAGGTCAAAAGTGACCTCACCTGAAAGTGCCTTCCTCAGCCTCTCTCAATTCCAGGGCCTTCCCTCTTTTAATTATTCCCTATTTCTTTTGTGTATAGCTTACTTATTGTATATACTTGTTTGCATATTGTCTCCCCCTTAGGCTCTAAGCTCCTTGAGGGCAGAGATTGTCTTTTGCCTCTTTTTGCATCCAAAATATTTGGCTTAGTAGCTGGCACATAGCAGCCACTTAATAAATGTTTATTTACTGATTGACGTACCACTTCACATTTGTAGCAGCCCCTTTCCATCTCTCCTTTTAATAAATCCGCACCGCTGCTCCGTGAGGAGGCGGCGGCGGCAGCCGAAACCTCTGAGAGCCCCGGAGTCTCGGGCCCTCCTTCCCGCTCTCAGCCCTTTCCTCGTCCAGGAGGTTCCTGCAGTCGGGCAGGGACGGATCTTCACAAGCCGATGACTACTCGCCGCAACCAAGCGCTTCGTAATGAAGACCATAATTCAGAATCCCTGCTGTTGAGCCACCATCACCTTCAACCCTGATAGCACGAACTTCTTTTGGACCTTTTCTTGAACCTGAGGCTTCTCCTTCACCTTATAGTAGCATTACTGTGGAAGCAGCTGCGACTGCAGTGGCATTTATTTGCAACAGGATTGGATTTTGTTTATCCTTCTGTATTGCTAGAAAGTATGGTGCCATTTGTGGATTTGGCCTTTCTTTGATCAAATGGATCCTCATTTTTCAGTTCTCTGATTTTTTGTTTTTACTGGATACAGCAATGGACAATATCGGCTTTAGTGGATATTTCTTGTCCTTGGCCTCCTCCTTTTCTTTTCCTTTTTTCCCCTTTTTTCTTTCTTTCTTTCTTTCTTTCTTTCTTTCTTTCTTTCTTTCTTTCTTTCTTTCTTTCTTTCTTTCTTTCTTTCTTTCTTCCTTCCTTCCTTCCTTCCTTCCTTCCTTCCTTCCTTCCTTTCTTTCTTTCTTTCTTTCTTTCTTTCTTTCTTTCTTTCTAAGCTAATTGGGTTAAGTGACTTGCCCAGGGTCACACAGCTAGTGTCAAGTGTTTGGCATGAGGCCGGATTTGAACTCAGGTCCTCCCGACTTCAGGGCCAGTGCTGATTTTTCTTCTTTTATTACTGACTGCATCGACCAGACATTCTTTTCCTGTACTAATGTGAAATTTCCAGATGATCTGTAAGCCTCCAACCTAATGGGATAGAAGACTACTAACAACAGAAGACCAATCAGTGAAGAAAACAAATTGAATGACATAGTGGTGTGCAGCTTAAATGCCATTTCTGTTCATTCTGTTAAATATTTGTTACCTTTGTTTTTTGCACATTTGCATATGTTTCATTTAAAAGGAAAGAATGCAGATGAAAAACAATTCATATAATTGAATAGAGATAAGGTGCAGTTAAACTTGGTTAATCAGTGTTCAAATACCTGACAGATTTGAGTGATAAACTCTCTTATAGCATGTATGTACCACTGATATGTTGATCTGAAGTTTAGTTGCTTAAAAAATTAAATTTACTAAACAATTCAGATTAGGTAGGTCAGACTTAATTAGTTTTATGGACAATAGATTCATCTAGTGATGATTATACACATAGACATCCTTTGTTTTAAAGTTTGCCAGAACTTGCAATGCTGACTATTAGAGGAATTGTGAAGTTTTGACCAAGGTATTACTTCATCCACCAAAACTCTTTCCCTCTGTAAATAACCGTGCATTAATTTCTTTTCA